CGTTTGACAAGTGAGCAGGTAGTAGAGGCTGCTTTCACCACAAGAAAAGTCACACCCAGTGATCCAAAGGCCAAACAGCAGCAACACCTGGAACTAGGGCACCTTAGCAGGACCCAGAACACGAGGGTAGAGAAGGTAACAGCAGGAGCACCAGAGAAAGTCATGGAAGTACCGCAGTGAAAGCCCATTCCCGAGCCTGCTGTGCCTGGGCTTTCCCTGAGCTAAGCAGCACACAGCTCTGATGTACTCACACCAGCCAGTGGAGGTACTCCGAGTCCGTGTCTCTTAAATGTCCACCTGCAAAGGCACACAACAGAGAAAGGTGACTCAGGGACACGCTGGTGTTCACACTAACCCCAAAGTGAGAAGGCCCAGACCCGCTTTGAACAGAGGGGGCAGCTTGAGCCCTCCCAGCATTCCTTTCTGAGCAGAAAAGCAGCTCATTCTTATAGGACTCAGCTTAAAACAAGAAGCAAAGAACTTTACAGATGTAATTCCAAGATGAAAAGGACTTCTTGGTCAGCTGCTGCACTTCACTGGGCCATGGTTCTTCAGGGCAAACAGCATCAGCTAACCTACCTCCCAGGCAGACTGCCAAGGGACAGAGGAGTTTAGGGGAAAACAAAAGACAGGACTGAAGGAATTGTTTCCTCTACACTGTCCCATCCCTCAACTGCTAGAGATTAGGTGAGGCAATCAACCTTCCTGCCTATGTAATATGTCCCTCCTTAGCAGATTTCACAGCATTCCTGGCTGTGCAGCCAAAAGAAACAGGAGCCAACCAAAAGCAGAGCAAAATAACCCAGTTCGAACATGCTGTTTTAACGAACTTGCTACTCACCTGGATTTGTGAGCAACAAAGTCCAGAGGGAGCCTTTATCTGCCTCATATGATACTGCAGGGGGACTGGAAGCCTAAAAGAGCAATGTGAAGAGAATATCTGTCATTCAAACAACAGGTTCCATTAAGACCAGGTCACGGTTTCCAAGGAAAAGAACATAAATTTGTCAAGGGCAACACAGACTAGGCACAGCCATGCCACCAAGGAATCTAGGTCCACCTAATAGACAACAATCCTGGTGCAAAGCTCCATCCTTGCCATATTCAAGAAACACATTTCCTTAATTGTAGGGGAAATACCCTTGTAAAAGAAATTCCCCAGAGTGGGCAATGCCTGTTGGGAGCATCTGACAGAAACACACAAGTTCCCCATGTGGTCCAGGCTGTTCCCAGCTCCCCTCACACACCTCGGACGGAGTCACCACGTTCCCGTAGTAAACTGGCACGAGGTCCTCATCTTCTTGGCTGTACTCCACCCTCAAAGCAACCCAGGGGATGAACGTGGCCCCCTTGAACAAGTCACGAAATATCCCGCAGTGCTGCGCCACACGCTGCTTGTGGAGCGGGCCGCTGCTCTTCTCCCACTCAGCTCTGACGTCAGCCAGGGGAATCAGCTCTGCCACGAGAGAGAAA